ATATAATATAATATAATATAATATAATATAATATAATATCATATAATATCATATAATATCATATAATATCATATAAGAGGAAAATTAAATTTCAAAACTAAGTATGTTGGAACAACCAAAAGAAGCTTTAGTTTATCAGTTATGGGAGTGAAAACATTAAACAATGTAAAAGCATCCAGCAATTAAAAAAAGAATATTCAATTCGATTATATTTTATTTCTATAGCACCACATCTCAACAACAGTTCTCTTTCCAAACAAAGCAGCTCAGACCCTACTCTGAAGTTAATTACAGAAACCCAACAATTCCCACCATGAGCAAGCACTAGGCGACACAGGCAAGGAAAAACTTCCTTTAACAGGCAGAAACCTGGAGCACAACCATGGCTCAGGGTGGGGCGGCCATCTGCCTTTTTCGATGAATTCAAAAAAGATTAATATATAAAAAGTTGGTATACTGTTATATTACTGTAAATAATTGTCCTTTACCACCATGACACATGTGACTGAGGGGTGGGGCTTAATAAGCTTATTAAGCTTATTATTAAGATCCTTTTGGAAAAAAAATGCATGTTTATGAAGCATTCAATGTAAACATTTTTAAATCATATCATGTTTCAAAATAAATGAAATTAAATTAACTTTAAAGTTACAGCTCTGATTTAAACCAGCTGAATCACTGAGTCATCATTAATGGAAGCATTGGGCTAAAAAATCTTATTTTATATTATTAAAATGATTAATATATTATTTTAAAACATTTTAAAATAAAGTATCAACAAGAACTTTAATTTATACCTTTAATAAACAATATAATTTAAGCTCCTGGGTCTAAATAGTGAGAACTAAATCACATGGAGAAATGTTCATATTCACAAGTATTTGTGACAAAGTTTTTGTTTTTTTAATGATCTGTCTGCAAAAATGTCACGTTAAAAGAGTGTTTTTCAACCTTTGTGCCTCAGTACACTAGTGTGCCGTAGAAAATCATCCTATTTCACCTCATTGGTCTAAAAAGACTTTTTGATAAGGAATTAATTATCTGCAAATAATATGTTATTTCTGAGTGTGTGTGCTGTTCTAGTGACTGGTGGAGTAATCATGTAATAATTCCTTATGACTAGATTTTGTATATAATTTTATATATTGAAGTGGACATGTTAAGAAAAATTTGAAATATGAAATATGATAAAAATACATTTTTGTGTTTATTTGATTCCTATTCAAGACACTTAAGATCAGAATAAAATAAGAATAACTATAGTGTTACTATAGGCGGATACAGATTTGTTTGACATTTTTGGTTGGTGGCGATCCTCGTGATTTTTTCAATGAAAAAATGTACCTTGGCTCAAAAAATGGTTGAAAAACACTGCGTTAGAAGAATCATAACAATCTAAATGGGTGTTTTTTTGTTTAGGAGCAGTACCAGTTCCTGTATAAAGCCGTGCTGGTTTTGGTGACCAGGCGGGCGGATAATAAAGAGGTTCAGGTCCAGATCTCTGCAGAGGAAGGAACCAGCCTCCAGTCTCTGGTATAAACCCAATAAAAGAAAAAAAAAACAAGCTATACTCTGCCAAACTTCCTGTTTGGTCAAACAGGAACCTATTTTTTAGAGCACTTCATGTTAAACTTTGACGTTTTGGTTTTAAAGACCTTTTTTTTGGGGAATGGATTTGATAGCTGTTTAGTTTTTGTCGTTGTATTCTTTGTCTTATGTTTCTAACTTTGGAAAAGCTGTTTAATAGTCCAGTTTTTATATATTTTCCTGGCTTATGACGTTTTGTTTTGGTATTTCTAATTTTGTATCCATGGCACCAAACCAAATTGGGAAAACTAGAGAAAAGATGCCTCTTTCATAAATGAAACTTTAATTTGTTTTATATAAAGCTTTTTTTTTGCTGTTCTTTGTCCATTTACCATTTCAAAATTAGCACTAGCACTATAATTAACCTGAATATATAAAGAAGAACTGGGACTAATTAAATAATAATAATAATCTCATGTGAGCATTTTCATAGTAAATACTTTGACGTACCAAATTTATATTTATACTTTTAGATTTTGATATTAGCATTTTCATAGCGCATACAAATGGTTTTATGCTAGTTTCTTTAGCTGGAGAACATCAATGCTTTTATTTTGGATTTGTCAGATTTATGCTGAGTCATGTTTGATTATAGTTTGATAGTAAACTGATGGATTTTTAGTTTCGGGGTTTAATGAATACAAATGAAAAAGAAAAGAGATGAATAAAGGAAAAGGAAGAAAAGGCCTGTTATTTTGTTTTTATGTAAGACTCTGTAATTCAACATATCCCAGAAATTAAATGAAATTCTGAGGGATAATAAGCTGTTTTTTTAATATTCAAGTCAAAACAAATTCAATTTAGTCCAATTCATTCAATGCCAACCCAGGAAAGTTGGATAAATAAAAAACCCAAATTAGTAGTGAGTACAAAATCTCTGCTTTATTTGAATCTACTTTAATATAAAGAAATGTAACGGTTCAATCTTGAAGTAAGAAATTTCTATAGCCAAGTTTTTTTTCTGCATAATTCTGAGACAGGAAGTTTATAAATCTGGTATATTTTTAGTCAAAGGACAGATTCTGGTCACCAGGTAAAGCTATCTGGAGTCAAATACAGTCGGTTTCATCCTTTTAAACAGTTTTATTCTGTATTTGTTTGCTTATCAAACAGCCTCCTAAATATTTTTACGGTTAAATTGTTGATTTCGGACCGTCGGTGGATGATTTTTAAGGCTAACTCACAGAGAAAGCTACTTTTTTAATATTCAAGTCTAAACAAATTCAATTTAGTAGCCAAGGAACCCAATTTGAAAAGATCTGACCTCTCCAGTAGAATCAGACCAAAGGAAACA